GATCGTATGAGTCTGAGGAAGATGAGTATAGAAAGGATCGCTTTGCGCGTGAGAATCAAAGTAAGTCGGATCAACTCACTTTAAGAGACCTAGCTGACAATCGTTCAGAATTGGATGCAGCGAATCTCGCTCTACAAAACAAGCTGGACATGATCGAGAGGAAGGCCGAGATTCAAGAAACTGCACTCAAGCGGTTGAACCGAGAGCGAGACATGGCGGTTTCTCAATTGGGTGTGTCCTATCTGGAATCACAGGACCTTAAAAATGAGGTTGAAGCTCTTCGTCAGGAGAACGCCGAGCTTAAATCCCAATTGGTGAAGGTCGCATCGGGTTCCAAGGATCAGGACGAGACTTATGAGTCCGAACAATCATCTGCAACCGAGATAAGCGACGAAGATAGTCAGTTTGATACACAGGCGAGCAGGAACTTCAGCAGAAGCACTAAAGACCTTACCTCGAAGAGCTCGCGCTCCCGATCCAAGGCCGGTCGTCAGGGGCAGTCAAACACGAAAATCTCTACTCAGGTAGACAAGGAAATAGCTCGCTTAGAAAGAGAACGTGCTGAAGAGGCTCTGTTTTCGCTTGACCTTTCGCAATCAAAAGAGAAATCTAAGTCGAGAGCAGAGAAAGCCCGAAGCAAGGCCAGGACTAGCGATGCCGCGTCCAAGAAGCAATCTAACACCGGCAAGCAGCGCGTCAAGAGGGTGGTTGTGGAGGAGATCGATGTGAGTGAGCCTGTTGACTCCACTGGTGAGGTCACGAACAATACCAAAAAGTCTTCGGTGGCGGAACAGGATTTGACGCTTCTGAGCTTCGTGGACGTAAGTTCTTCCTTTAACTTGTTGTGTCCGCTTGTAACTTAACCAGGATTTTCAGGAACGCGAAATCGCCCAGCTACGGAAGACCTTGGAGGAGGAGCGCCTGGCTCGCAAGAAGCGCCAAGCAACCGCTACCAAGGAGTTAGCTGGCAATGAGACTGGGAATACCACCCGCCAGAGCGTGGCAAAGCCCGGAATACCTAGAAAATCATCCCTTAAAGAAAGCAAGGGGCTGCCAGCAAGACCCGCATCAGCAATGGGCGACTTGACCGCCACATCCAAGGCTAGCATGATTGAAGGAGACAGCAACCTCTCAGTGCCTGTTGAACGTCACAGACGTCATTCAGACCATGCTGCGACCACTGCTACTCCAAGGCGGCGACGTCAGATGGCCGAGGAGATGACCTCCGCGTTCATCCTACCTGATATCACTCTCAATCCTGCAAGCCTTGTCGATAATCTGACTAAGCTGCCTGAACCCACGCAGCGTGCGCTTGACAGTGCTACCCAGCATAATGGCAAGAATTGTACCGTCTGTAAGCGTGTCATGCCTGGTGACTCTTGCGACCACTTGGTCGAGACGGTGAAAGTCCCCAAGCCTGTTCCTGTCTCGGAGCGTATGCCTGAGCCTTCAGTTCTCAACGAAGATCCTACTATGCGGCCTGCGCAGTCGCCAGAGATTGCCCTAGCAACTGTGCTCAAAGCCTTGGAAGATGAACTGGCACACCTGAAGATACAGCTAGTTGCGTACCAAGGTGCTTACAACAAGCTGGATGCTTCGCTAAGCAAGAGACAACGAAAGTCGCTTGGTGAGAAGATTGAGAAGTTGCTGAAAGACATCGACATGAAAGCTGATCAGATCTACGCCTTGTACGATGTACTCGAGGGACAGAAACAGGACGGCCGTGAGATGACCGAGCAGGAAATGGAAGTAACTCTTCAATCTATTGGGATTGACACAGGTGCCGGCCCGACAGGCGATTTGACCGCCGCATCCATCAAGTCCTCCCACAAAGCCCCTGAAACGGAATTTGACGATGACGATGAACTGCCCTGGGAAGGATTTGAGAGCACGATGGAACTCACGGGCCGAAGTGGTGTAAACCATCGCAACTAATCTCAACTATATGATTCCGCTTGCTTTGAGCTTGTGCTCTCTTTCCCTTTCGTGCGAGTTCCACAATTCCTCGATCCCTTCTTTCCCTCCTTCATCGCATGCCGCTTGCGCACAGTCTCTAATTGAGCTGACCCGGGCCCTGACAATGGACTCGGCGTCCAAGCCCAGAACTTCCATGAGAGTTGGTGTCTTCGGCAGCTTTTGGTAACTTCTGCGTCCCGAGGGCATGATCTAGAGCTTGCAGCAAAGGGATCTTTTTGTTTGTTTACAGTTCCGCGGAACTCTCTTTCACTTCTACATGCCGGGAAGGCTCCAGGGTTGGATTAGGCGTTGCATTGTGTCGGTTGCTTGGTGAATCATTAGCATTGGTTGAATGGATTGTTACAAGTGTTTCTGTGGTGGGCTAGGGTTGGATAATCATTGCGTTCCTGTGGTCTCGTGCCTGCTAGCTATACAGAGACCAAAAAGTAATAGTGTCGGCAATAGCGTGCCGAAGAAGCGGTCGGAAATACCCAAAGAGGCACTAGTGGCGATGACAAGCTTTAGGCCGAAGACGGCTCATTCTGTCTATTATTCTTTTTTCGCGCCCACATCACTACTGGAGTTTGGATCTCTTTCCTTGCCACTTACTCTCTTGAATGTAGCCGAGTTTCTTTTCGTTTGACCACGCAAGCCTACCGTAACACAACATTTTCTCTTCTGATGACTTCACCGCAACTACATCATGATCACCACAACAGTTTCAGCGGCGATGTAGATGTTCCCACGGATGCGACCGAAGTCAGCAAGGCTGCTTATCTCCACCGAGATCCCTTCCACGAGGGAGGCGAATTTCTGGGTCCAGCTTCTCCTTCTGATCACCACACCTTGGAAGACGAAGCAAGTTACAACACTGCTATCCACGATGACAGTTCTGTGCAGACTCGGATTCTTGCGCCCCCGGCAGAAATCATCTCTGCCCGACGCTTATCTGTAGACATCGCCAATAGCAGTGATGGCGACAGCAGCGACGATGCCAGTGATGACGACGACACCGAAGGGCCTACAGGCCCTTCGAGCGCTGTAGGCCCTTCGAGCGAAAAGCCTGTGACATGGGCCTCGCTGCCCAACAAAGGCCAACTTGCGATCTTGACTTTCGCGCGACTGTCGGAACCTCTGACGCAAACCTCCCTCCAGGCGTACATGTTCTACCAGCTCAAATCCTTTGACCCTTCCCTGCCAGACTCGACCATCTCTGCTCAGGCGGGTGTGCTGCAGGGCAGTTTCACCGCCGCGCAATTTCTTACGGCAGTCTGGTGGGGTCGCTTGGCTGATGCGGACTGGATGGGACGGAAGAGAGTGCTTTTGATCGGGCTCTTCGGGACATGCATCTCATGTCTGGGTTTCGGGTTTTCGCACTCATTCGCGGCCGCTGTGGTGTTCCGCACGCTGGGGGGATGTCTGAACAGCAACGTCGGGGTGATGCGGACCATGATCTCTGAGATTATTGAAGAGAAGAAGTGAGTTGGCGTGGTAAACGGCGCTTGCGGGCGGGGGTGGCTTGAGCTAACGTGCTTAGATATCAATCTCGCGCCTTTCTCCTACTTCCAATGTGCTTCAATATCGGGGTGATCATCGGTCCGGTCCTGGGTGGTGCACTGGCGGATCCGCTGAATAGCTACCCTGAGTTCTTCGGCCCCGGGACATTCCTTGGTGGTACCGACGGAGTATATTGGATGAGACGCTGGCCATATGCGCTGCCCAACTTGCTCAGTGCGATGTATATCTTTGCCTCATTCTGGGCTGTTTTCTTGGGTCTCAACGAGACCCATGAAATTGCGCGCTACCGGGACGACTGGGGTCGGAAGCTGGGACGCATTATTACGAAGTTCTTTTCGCGCCGCCGGAGTCGCTATTATCGTCGGCTCAGAACCCATCCGGACAATGAATCCATTTACATTGATGGCAGCGTGACCAGCATGTCCGCTCCTCCCAGCCCTATCCGTTCCCGTGCTCGGCCGCGCCCCAAACGCCCCAGCTTCTGGCAGATCTGGACACCAAACGTTCTTCTGACTTTGCTGGTTCAATTCCTTCTGGCTTTCCATACCAGCGCATTCAATTCGATGACGTTCACTTTCCTGCCAACTCCACGAGCCCCAGAAGATAGCCGGAAGGGCTTCTTTCGTTTCAGTGGTGGTCTGGGATTGCCGTCCTCTCGAGTCGGCATGGCAACGGCTATCATTGGGATCATTGGTCTGCCGTTGCAGATCTTTATCTACCCCCGCGTGCAAGGTCACCTGGGAACTTTGACCTCCTTCCGAACCTTTCTACCGTTTTCACCACTGGCATATGCGTTGATGCCTTTCCTTCTCGTGCTTCCACGGGTGCCCTGGATGGTTTGGCCTGCGTTCACGCTTGTTGTGGGTCTCCAAGTTGTTTCGAGGACGTTCGCTCTTCCCGCGGCTGTCATCCTTGTGAACAACTGCGTCACCGACGCCTCTGTCCTTGGAACAATTCACGGGGTCGCGCAGAGTATCTCCAGCGGGGCCCGTACCCTGGGCCCCATGATTGGAGGCTGGGGCCTAGGGCTGGGACTGGAGCATAACTTTGTCGGCGGGATTTGGTGGGCCCTGGCCCTAGAGGCATTGATCGGCTGGTTCGCCCTGTTCATGATCTACGAGGGTAAAGGGATTGAGAGGAAGAAGGTGTTAGAGGAAGAAGAGGAGGAGGATGGATTTGATGAACGTCGTTAAATACGGTTCGCCTTACTAGATGGACTAGAACTATTAGACTATATATGTGCATGGGATACATACACGATTACTACGCGACATGGGCATCATGGGTTCATTGATGAGATTTAGCACGAGTCTTATGAGAAATGTCCTGAGATGATCGAATGGAACTTATTCATTGATGAATTGTGGCATAATTGTTTCATAGCTGTCATACATTTTGTCATTTTTAAGGGTAAATAGAACTCCTTCAAACCTTCAAGGTTACCACCAAAAACGCCGTCTTAAATCGGGATCTTCTTCCGCCCGCGTCCTCCCAAGCCCAGTCCATCAATCCGCCCCCATCTCCACTTTCAAACCCGACTGACCAGCAGCCTCAACGTGCAAGCGTCGCAGGCGTAATGAACGCCTTGATTGCCTGCGCAACATTCCCCTCATGGGCCTTCAACAGCTCCGTGGCTCTGAGCTTATTCAAATCCAACTGATCCACCTGCAAGGCACCGAGCGTTTGACACACATTAGATTAGCCCAGCGAGCCTTATTCCACCAGTTCCAATATTTAAGGGCATCCCCCGAGGAGAGCGGGCTTGAGGACTGCAGAGCAGAAACCTACCAGAAGATTGACATCGTCGGCGCTGACCTTGACCGCCTTCTTCTTCACCGGCTCCCCTCCCTCCTTACTCTGCTGCGTCGTCCCCGCCCGCTTCTTGCCCGCAGGGTGACCGGCTGCGATCTCGAGACGACTCATGGCCTTGCCCAGCGCCTCCTGGTCAGCGGATGAGGGCAGCCTGGTCGGGGAGTCGGTGGCGGCGATCTCGTTGGTATGGAGGGAGGAGAGGGCGGCGGCGGCTTTGCGGTCCTCGGCGTTGGCGGGGAGCGGTTGCTCCGCGGCGTCGGGGTCGGCGTGCGCTGAGGGGATGGAGTCGGACATGATTGATTGGTTGGTTAGTTGGTTCGGTTATTTCTTGTTGTTGTTGTTGTTGTTGTTGTCAGATTGGAGGGTATATTCCAAGCCCATGTTTGAAGATACCTAGTGGTTATCACAAGCACCTGTTGCATGACGTACAGTCAGTCCCGAGAGACAAACAGACAAACAGACAAACAGCCAAGCATTCCGGCAGAACAATCAACCTAACAATCCGGATCTAAACCACTAACAGCCTAGTGCCGGGGAATAATGACTCAGGCCGCGAATAGCCGTGCGTTCCTCACCTTCCAGAAAGTAGCATGAATCATCCCATTTCAGGCCTGGTGCAACTTCGACTTGTTCTTGCTTTCTTTTTCTTTCTCCCCATTCCTCCCTCTCTCTCCCTGAACTCCCTTTTTATTCCTCTCTCTACTCCGCAGTCAGTCGGATTCGAAAGAGAATCTCCATTCTTTACCCCCTGTTTCTTCTCATAGGAGTTGGTGGTTCCCGTCCGCATCGAAAACATCGCAAAGCAGGGTCCAATCCAATTCGGAATTATCTCCACACTTTTTTTTTTGGCTTGTCCGCTGTCATTCCAAGCTCTTTTAGCCGTCGATCATTGCTAGAATCATACCTGCGTACAGCGTCTCCCTCCCTTCTTCTTCTCGACCTCCTCACAATTCCCCAAGTACACCGCCAGATCAGTGTATCCCATACTCCAAAATCATGGAGACTTGGTCTCCTACGTGTATGTTCGGTCTCTAACAACGAGAGCAACATCCCCATTGTCCAATTTCAAGACAAGCTGCTAATACAGTCCGGCTATTAGCGTGGACGTCCAAGCCGGCCAAACAATGCGTCGCGTACGAAGACACAGAGGCGACGGAGGCAGCTCTCGAGAAGCTACGGAAACTTCCGCCGTTGGTCACCACACAAGAGGTGTGTTTTCCTGTGTAACTGATGATTTGTACCGGCAATTTTTGAGGTCGTCTCTGTGCATGTGTTTTACTGATCGCAAATTATGGCACAGGTTGCGAATCTCAAGAACAGTTTGCGCAATGTCGCCCTGGGGAAGGCGTTTGTGCTTCAGGGAGGTGGGTTTCTGAACTTTGTCCCTTGACGTGAAACAGAAAACTCACAGTAATCAGGTGACTGTGCCGAGCTGTTTGATTACTGTAACCAGGAGATGATTGAAGCCAAAGTCAAGCTGCTTCTGCAGATGAGTCTGGTATTGATTTGGGGTAAGTCTGTTAGATCCCCGCTAATGTGATGGTGATGATGCTCATGCATGTCTTCTAGGAGCGAATAAGCCTGTGGTGCGCATTGCTCGGATTGCAGGGCAGTTTGCAAAGTACGTTTGTCTCACGTCCTGTCCTGCCAACCGTAGGCCTAATGCACTAATTCCTGAGCCATCAGGCCTCGCTCCAGCCCCATGGAAACGATCAACGGGGTCGAGATGCCCTCCTTCCGAGGCGACAACATCAATGGCTTCGAAGCGACGCCCGAATCGCGCAAACCGGACCCCTCGCGCTTGGTGTCGGCGTACTTCCACTCCGCCGCGACGCTAAACTACTTGCGCGCCTCCCTCTCCTCCGGTCTTGCGGACCTGCACTCCCCGCTTGACTGGGGTTTGGGCCATGTCATCACCCCTGCCATCAAGGAGAAATACGAACGCATCGTGTCGCGGGTGAAGGACGCCCTCCGCTTCATGCAAACCGTCGGCATCGACACCGACCGCGGCGTCGAGACCGTCGACGTCTACACCAGCCACGAGGGTTTGCTCCTCGATTACGAAACCAGTCTCACCCGTCTCCTCCGCAACCCCCTACCCCCCAATTCCGCCCCTGCTTTCTCCATGTTCTCCCCCCCTTCGTTTTCCCAGCCACCACCATCCGCTGTGGACCCGACGACAAGCACGACGACAGCACCGGCAACGGCAACGGCAACAAGCATAACCCCCCAAACCCCACTCCTCCCCTCGAAATCATTCTACGCGACGTCCGCGCACTTCCTCTGGATTGGCGACCGCACGCGCCAACTCGACGGCGCGCACGTTGAGTTCTTCCGCGGCCTCGCCAACCCGATCGGCATCAAGATCGGGCCCAGCATGACGCCGGAGGAATTGACGCAGCTGCTGGACGTCGTCAACCCTACGCGCGAGATCGGCAAAGTGACGCTGATCTCGCGCTACGGCGCCGCCAAGATCGCCTCCCACCTGCCGGGTCACATCGAGGCCGTCCAGCGCGCCGGCCATCTCCCTGTGTGGCAGTGCGACCCTATGCACGGCAACACCCAGAGCACCCCCACCGGCATTAAGACCCGCCACTTCAGCGACATCCTGTCCGAGCTGCGCCAGGCCCTCGAGATCCACCGCGCCCACGGCTCCTTCCTGGGCGGCATGCACCTCGAGCTTACCGGCGAGGCCGTCACCGAGTGTGTCGGCGGCGCCGGCGGCTTGACCGAGGAAGGACTCGGCGAGCGCTACACCACCTTCTGTGACCCGCGGCTGAATGAGAAGCAGGCCCTCGAGCTGGCCTTCCTGGTCGCCGGGTTCTACCGCGAGATGGATGAGTCGGAGCGCGGGAGGATGAACTCCATTTGATTTGTTGCGTGGAGCTTGCAGCCCAGAATTGAGAGAGGGTGAGTAGAATATCTTCAAGTATGGTTTATTTTGGTCTTGGACAATGTTCCATCTTGGGAGGGATTTAATATTGAGAACGGGTTTCTCGGGTGCATGAACCTCTTTTGGAGGTCGACAAATCCAATTTTGACCGAAGATTTTGATTTATACGATCAGCGACAAAGTAATTGGGGCGGTATGCGAAAGGAACCATTCATTCTTCAAGAAAAAAGAGAGAAGTAAGAATGTTGATTTTATTTTATTCAAGAATATGAAATATCCACATCGACCCAAAACCAGTCACGACAATGTAAAACAAAAACAAACCATTCTGCAAATAGGGGGGGGTATGTAGGTGTCCCAATACACAAGATAAACCAGAGAGAGAAACGAAACCAGACCCAGTCAATTGATAGCAAATAGGAAATCGAAGTCAGCTCCCAAATACGACTGACCGTACCCAGCATAATAACAAGAATGGAGAAAACAAGACGCGAGATCACTCCACGAGGGGACTACCCACCCGGGGCTTGTAGGCCATGCTCTTCCGGCGCGCGGCCTCGAGCTTCGAGCGCAGCTTCTGGTTCGGCTCGCGCACGGGGCCCGGGGTGGTGAAGAGACCCTGGCGGGTCTGCTTGGGCGGACAGGTCTGCTGGACGAGCTTCGTGCGCTGGGAGAGGTAGAACGGGGTGGCGGGGGACATGCCGATGGCGTCCATGTCGAAGGCGTAAGCGGAAGAGCCGGGGGTTTGGGGCGTGTGGCAGTACCGCTGGTCGGGTTCGGTGTGGCCCACCGTGTAGTCGACCTGTTCGGGCGGCGTAGCTGTAGAGCCTGACTCCTCCTGTTCCTGTTCCTCCCGGGAAGAGAGAGGCGGCGTGCTGTGGTCCCTGGTGAAGCTCTCCACGGTGTCTCGGCTGATGGCGCCGGAGCGGCGGCGATCTAGGGCGGGGGCGGTTGCGGTGGCCCGGACCAGCGTGCCGTTGACGTTGCTCAGCGCGCGCGGTTCCATGCTCTTGCGGCGCTTGGCACCGCCGCGGGGGACGATGGAGCTGTCGACGGCGTAGGGGGTTTCGTCGAGCCATTTGCTCTCCCGCTCGCAGTCGAGAACCCAACCGACACCAACACACTTGACCAGGCCCCGCGCGTGGCGCACCTTCTCCAGCGTCCGAGCACTTCCGTCCTTGAAGACCACATGGGTGACGCCCACCTTACCCTCCTTGGGTTCCACCCCTTCCTCCGGGGCCAGGCTCGCGCGAGGGTTCCAGCACCAATTCTTGATGCATCGGGCTCCCATTTGTTGAAGCAGTTCGATGAAAATACCACTAGCATCTTCGCCCTCCGTGGTGTGCACGTCCACATAAACGACCGCTCCTTGCAAAGCCAGCTTAGGCGCCGGTGCGCTCATGCTCCTTCTCGGAGCCTTTGCACTCTTGGTCGGGCTCGGTGATTGCGGAGGGCGCTTGGCAGGCGTCGATCTCTCATTCTTAAGCTCGGCGGGTTGTGTCACCGGGGCGACTGGCCTGGACATTGAGACTCTCTGAAGTCTCGGTGATTTCCGAGGCGACAGCGGTGGAACAGTCTGCTGAGTAGGAGCGAAGGTCGAAGTGCGGATTCTGGTGGAGGCACGAATAGGCGAAGCACCCGAAAGCGAGAGACCTCTCTTGCGTGAAATCTTCAGCGGCGAAATATGACCTTCGGGTTTGAGAGGCACCTTGGAAACAGTGTGTACTGTTTGCATCTGAGGAATTCGGTTCTTGACAGGGGTGAAGAGAGGAATGTTGGAAAAGACCTCATTCTCCTTGTTATCATCAAATGCATCGCTTGCAGGGAGCTGGCTGTTCGACACAGAAGCGATCTCCATCACTAACTCCTCGCGGGGGTCCTCGTCGGTATAGTTGTCAAGGGTAGCCTCAACCTCTGTCCCATTTGGCATGTCAACCACAGGGCCTTCTGTCTCCTGAATACTTTCAGAGGAATATGCCTCTAATTGGGAGTCTTGACTAGGGTCCTCATAGATGTGAGGGCCGTCGACATTCTCAGTGACCGGCTCTTCAGTCTCAGCAAGAATAGTCTCTTCCGCCTGAGATTGCATGTTGAAATCTTGCAAGATTTGAGTACCATCGACAACTTCAGTGGTTTGCTCGATGAGCTCAGCAGGCTCGGTAGTTTCGGTGTTGTCGGCCTGTGACGGACGAGAGCTCTGGCTAAGGCTTTCGTAGATCTCCGACTCGTCCTCCTCGGACATCTGCTCAGCATCCTCAGTAGTGCCAGGCTCTTCCAAGCCAGAGGTCTGGCTGAAGTCTTCGTAGTCCTCGGGACCGTCAGTAACCCCTGTCACCTGCCCGGCAGTTTCTGCAGACTCTACAGCTTCAGCAGCCTCAGTCTCTGCTACCTGTGAGTCGTGGCTGTAATCTTCTTCAATTTGAGAATCGACGTTCTCGTTAGAAGCTTCTGGTTCGGCCTCCGTAGTTTCATTTGCGTCAATTTCCACTGATTGCACGCTTTGGCCACCCTTGTCAATCTG